TTTACAGTTTTGGGTCTTCCATTTGTCTTTAATCCATTTCTGTATAAGACGAGAGATAAGAGTCAAGTTTCATTCTTCTGAATATGGATATCCCGATTTCCCATCACCATTTGTTGAAGAGATCGCTTTTTTCCCATTGAATGTTTTTGACAACTCTGTCAAAAATCAATTGACTGTAAATACATGGATTTATTTCTGGATTCTCTATTTTGTTTTATTGGTCTATGAGTCCATTTTCATGCTAGTATCATGCTGTTTTGTTTACTATAGCTTTGTAGTGTATTTTAAAATCTGGTAGGGTGCTACCTCCAGTTTTCTTCTTTTTGCTTAGGATTGCTTTGGCTATTTGGAGTCTTTTGTGTTTTCATATGAATTTTAGGATTGTTTTTTCTATTTCTGTGAAAATGTCATTGGTATTTTGATAGGGATTGAATTGAATGTGTCAATTGCCTTGGGTAGTATTGTCATTTTAATAGTATTAATTCTTCCAGTCCATAAACATGGGATGTCTTTTCATTTTTTGTGTCCTCTTCAAATTCTTTTATTAGTGCTTTATAGTTTTCCTTGTAGAGATTTTTCACCTCATTGGTTAAGTGTATTCCTAGGTATTTTATTTTTGTAACTATTGTAAATGGAATTGCTTTTTTGATTTCTTTTTCTACTAGTCCATTGTTAGTGTATAGAAGTGCTACTTATTTTTGTATGCTGATTTTGCATACTGCAACTTTACTGAATTCATCTATCAGTTCTAACAGCTTTGTTGGAGTCTTTAGGCTTTTCTATATATATATATGTTTATGTTGTTTGAAAATAGAGACAATTTGATTTCCTCCTTTCCAGTTTGGATGCCCTTTATTTCTTTCTCTTGTCTAATTGCTCTGGTTAGGACTTCCAATACTATGTTGAATAAAAGTGGTGAGAGTGGGCATCCTTCTTTTTCCAGTTCTTAGAGGAAAGGTTTTCAACTTTTCCTAATTCAGTATAATGTTAGCTGTGGGTTTACCATATTTGGCTTTTATTGTAATAAGGTACATTCCTTCTATACCAAATTTGTCAAGAGTTTTATCAAGAAGGGATATTGAATTTTATCAAATATTTTTCTACATATATTGAAATGATCATATGGTTTTTGTAGTTCATTTGAGTTTATGTGATATATCACACTTGCTGATTTGCATATATTGAACCATCATTGCATCTCTGGGATACATCCCATTTG